CTGCTTTCAACTACCTGAGAGGTGGTTCCAGAGAGGATGGTTCTAGACTATTCTCAGTGGCAGAAGAGGACAGGACAAGGAGAAATGGTCTCAAGTTGCAGTGGGGGAGGTTTAGGTTGGATATTAGGAAAAACTTTTTCACTAGGAGGGTGGTGAAACACTGGAATGCGTTACCTAGGGAGGTGGTAGAATCTCCTTCCTTAGAAGTTTTTAAGGTCAGGCTTGACAAAGCCCTGGCTGGGATGATTTAATTGGGGATTGGTCCTGCTTTGAGCAGGGGGTTGGACTAGATGACCTCCTGAGGTCCCTTCCAACCCTGATATTCTATGATTCTATGATTCTGTGATGGAGCAGCATATAAATGAGCCCTGACGCACACAGGCAGAGGAGCTAGTCAGTAACTGTAAATTAAACTGGTGCCTGTCACAACAACCCATTTTCTTGGCAGCTTTTTTTATTTTTTTTTTATTTTTAAAGTGGCGTGGAAGTGCCAGTGGGGAGGGGCAGTGAGAGTTGCCTGCTTTTGTCCCTCTCCAAGGAATCAAACAGCAGGCTTAATGCTTTGGTTGCTTAAGAATGCTTGACCTGCCCTGTGACATTTGAGGGATTGTGCAGAAAAGGTTTCTCTTCAGGAACAAACAAGCAGAAACAGAATAGAACTGAGAGAGTAAGGACAATACGCCAAGCTTCCAGGACTCAATAAGAGTGAATTTCCTGAGGAGAGCTCAAACAAATCAGATGAATTCCTCCCCACCCCTGCTTTCCAACAACTCAGTAGTTCTCTGGTGTGGGTAGATTGATGCATATGGGGACTGATGTTCTCTGCTTGCATTGTACAGTGAGCCAGCTTGACATAGCTGCTCAAGAACATTTGAAGATGTAAGGCTTGTTTTCTTGTTTGTTCCATCTCTGTGTGTGATGCTAGTGATGGTGAGAGCCTTGCAACTTTTGTTAAAGTCTAAGTCCCTGCACAGTTCCTGGGAAATGTAGAGTGCATGAGTTTGCCCCAGAAATAGGATCGGAAGACTCTGACTTCTTGTTTGGGTGATCATCAGTTTTTCTCCTTACAAACTCCAGGTCCTATAGTCAAGGAGACTTTCCTACAGTTGCAGGTGGTTCAGCTTGTGAACCCTTACATCGCAGGTGCAACTGGGGTTAGACATTTCCAGGTACTTGTGTAACCGTCATCATTATTGTAGTTGAACATTTACTGGGGAAAATTCACACTGGAGGGGGAGCAGATAGTGGTACCATTATCATCCTTCCCCATGCATTGCATCTTGGGAGGAGAGCAGCTCTATATTCTGTCCATGGTTCCACAAAGGTCCTGCTGGTGGAGACCTTCTGGGAGATGTGCTGAATCAGTGCAGCTCCCAGTCAGTGTGCTTTCAGGCCAGCCACATTCACTTCCTGGGCTGTGCTGCGTAGCTCCTGGGCCTCCTGGCAGATCTGGTATTGTAGCTGGCTTGTACTGCTATGCCCTGCTCTAGACAAGCTTTCCAATTCTGGGGACCCAAAGCTGGGTTCCCATGTCTCATCAAATGGATGAATCCCACCTGGTAGGTGATGTGTTACATAGGATCTTCCCAAGAGAATATGTCAAGCCCTGAAATATTCTAAATTCTGCAATTCATTCTAGAGATGTCCCAATTCTACCTGTAGACAAAGATTAAAGATCAGTTTCAGCTTGTGGCTATTTGACTAATTGCCCTGATAAATCTTGCTGTCAGTTCATTAACTGAAAAAGAAAGGGGGAGGCTGAAACAGATTATCTCAAATTCTTGCAAAGGCATAAAAAAGAGGATCCCAGATTCATTCCCTTCCCCCATCTCCCAAGAGATGAAAAATCAGAGAACGCACTTAAACGGAAGCAATATAAGGACTAGAGGTGTCTGAAGTCTAGAGCACTGCTTGAAGGGATACTCAAATTCTGAATGTTCTATGCCATTTGTTCCAAGTATGCAGAGGTGAAAGTAAGCTGGTACACCTCAGTATGGCGTACCGGCAAGAGCCGGTGCACCGTACTGGGGCAGCCCGGCTTGCTCAGGGGGCAATTTAAAGGGCCTGGGGCACCCAGCAGTGGCTGGAGCCCCAGGCCCTTTAAATTGCCTCCAGAGCCCCGCTGTTGGAGCCCTGAGGTAGCCCTGCTTCTACCGCCCCGGCCCTTTAAATAGCCACTGGAGCCCTGCCGCAGCTACTCCAGGACTCTGTGGGCTATTTAAAGGGCTGGGGCTCCAGCTGCCTCTGCCGCCCCGGTCCTTTAAATAGCTGCTGGAGCCCCGCCGCTTCCCCAGGGCTTCGGCAGCTATTTAAAGGGCTGGGGCAGTAGAAGAGGGGAGCCCCAGGCCCTTTAAATAGGCCCCGGAGCCCCAGGCTGCTGCTGCTACCCCGCTGGTGGGGGGGACACTTACCTTACCGGGTGGGTTGGGGCTGGCTCTGAGCCCCTCAACTCCGCCCCTTCTGCCATAGGCCCCGCCCCTTCCAAGGGCCAGAGCTGGCCCCAGCATAGCGGTAAGTCACTCGACTTACTTTCACCCCTGCAAGTATGTTTAATAAACTGTTTGATTTCTCTCTGGCCATACCACAATACTAGAAACAAACCTTTCCTTCATTCAAAACCCTTGAAAAATAGTGGACATTTAGGGTTATTTGGGAGGTAAATAAAACTGCATTTCATCAAGTCCTAAAGTTGTATTTGCTTAGGATGGGTGAACTAGCTCATAAAAATACAGAGCCAGCTCAAACTTAGCAGTTTCTCCAAATCAAAATGAACAAGTAACATAAGACTACCTGGCCCCTCATTCCTATCGCCCATCCTGCATGCTCTCTCTTCCTGACCGCTATTAAATCTTTGCTCTCTAGGAAACCCGCAACAAGCTCACTCTTTTTGACCCCATGGATCCACAGATCCTCTTGACACTGACTCTTCTGCTCTAACATCATAATCTTCCGTGTTGTGTCTTTCCCAGCCAAAGGAATACAATGTGTTCTGGGGCAACTCTAACAAGAAGAGCTCTGGGTTCCATGAGATTTGAAGAAAGTAGCTGAAGTACCTCAGCAGATGCTGCCGGAAGTGGAAATATTCCCAGGCGATCATGAACGGCAGGGGTCTTTTCAGATGCGTGTGGAAAAACCCTAAGAACTGAAGTTGGAAAGGGGAGAAGAAACTCCACTTTGGTTTCGGAAAGAAAATTGGGCTCAGGGAGCAGGGACTACGCACGCAGGAAGGAGAAGGATCTAGTTATGTTGGGAAGACAGGAGGAAGGGACAAGGATAGGAGATGGAGAAAGGGAAAGACGCAAAACCTTCTTCTGATAAACTTTGGTTAAGCACCTGCGTTATTTAGAGATTTATCCCAAAATTGAACATTTGGTTAGTCTCTAAGGTGCCACAAGTACTCCTTTTCTTTTTGTGAATACAGACTAACACGGCTGTTACTCTGAAACCTGTCATTTGGAAGATTGCTCACCACTAGGGCTGTGTCTACACAGCACAACTTACTATGGCACAGCTGTGCTGCTGCAGTCATGCTGTTGTAAAGTGCGCAGTGTAGCCGCTCTTTGTCGCCATGGGAGAGCTCTCTCACTAACAGAATAAAATCACCCCAGAATTAGGGGTGGTAACTTCATCACCGGGAGAGTGTCTCCCATCAATGAAGCACTGTCCACACCGGTGCTTTTCATCAGCAAAACTTTTGTCATTCAAGAGTGTGGGTTTTTTTTTTTCACACCCCTGAGCGAAAATAGTATAACGGAAGTGCAGTGTAGACACGGCCCAGTATTTAAAGCAAAGATGTGTGTCTCCTTCTTATATCAGTTTTTAAGAAGTTTGTGACCACTAGAACTGTCTGGACTTTGATCTATTGATTCCATTTTGTGTTGTGTTGTGTTGTGTGATGGAGCACTTCCTAGGAGAAGAACTTGGGTTTATTTTCAATTGGGATGTACGGGGAGAAAAATACTCCAGTAAAACCAGAGGATGGAAGGATAGGGTTATAGTTGAGAGAATCAGGAAACCCCGTCTCTACCACAGACTTCCTTTGTGATGTGTGCAAGATACTTAACTTCTCTGTGGAATGGGGATGAGAATATTTTCCTCCATCACAGGGATGGTTGTGATGATGAGGGTTAATTCCTCAATGCTTGTAAATCATTGAGGACCATAGATAAAAGCTGCTGTATAGATTGTACCTTCTTCTGGGCAGGAACCATATTTTTCTACTTATTTGCAAAGCACCTAGCACATTTTGGGGCATTTTAAAATTAATAGCTATTCCAGGCTCCATCAGTTGGGTCAGACCATGCCAGCAAAATGGGGACATGGGCCCTGATTCTGCACAATGCTCCATGTAGACCGTTTCCACACAAAGCAGTTTGCAGGATTGGGGCCATCGTCATTTAGAAACAGGTGGAAAGGAGCTTTGCTGAAACACACAGAGTCTATAATTTAGTTATTTTTGGTGTATCCTGGGTCTCTTTTAAAGCCTAAATCCTGCAGAATGTATACTAATCTGGGAAGCTGCATGTAAGAGTTTGTAACTGTAACTATATCAAGGGGGAACATCCAAAACAAATGTGATTTTTTTTTTCACAATCCTGCCTGGAAAAATTCTGCAGTTCCTTAGCCAACTGTAGTTTATATGAATTGGGAACAGTTGGACCAAAACCTGTATGATTTTTTTTTTCTTTGACAGAGGGATACAGGAGGAAATGCTTTCTCCCCAATGCAAATTTTTTAAACATAAACATGGATTGTCTTCCTCAAACGGCTCTCTGCATCATTTCCAATTCAAAACAACTCTCTGATTTCTTATCCCCGGGGGATTAAAAGGGGATGAAGACTGGCTCCACCTTTTGATGCATATGTATCAGCCCTGGGAGTAAGGAGGGGATAAGAGATCAGAATTTCAACCTGCCTCTGAATAAGCCTTAGTGGTTCCCTTTAACTATGGACATGTGAGACTGGAAGGCTACTTATTGTGGAGTTCCCTGGGAGTTTTCACTCCCCTGTGAAATATGATGTCTGGACACACCCTCCAAAGCCTTGTTTGGATTCAGTGGCTATGAAGGTGACAGATCAAAGGGAGTTACATCTCTCAGGAGAGTCCCCTCCTAACTTCTCTACTTTTGAGCATGCAAGGGGCTGAGGATGTGGTGATGCTGGTTGTGGTGGCGACAGCCAGGAGCTGATCTCTGAATTGTTTTGTGGTTGAGCAAGACTTTACTTTCGTTTGGTGTTTTTCTTTTCCTTTTTTGTACTGTTTGTCTAATGGCTAAACTGCTCCAAGGACCAGCCCTGTAGCACTTCTCAGGAGTGCTGGGAAAGGTAAGTTTGGAATGGAAAAAGGGGAAATGGTTAACTTTGTGATGGCAAAACGTAGGCAGCTGGGGTGGGTGTGCGTGCGCCTGTGTGGGTGGGGGAAGGCTGGTTGTGTGATAAAGTGAAGGGCTGCCTCGACACAAGCAGGTGCACAAAGGGCTGGAAGCAGCTCTAGGAAAGCGGCTAGTCTTGCCTTTCAGGCACTCACAGCAGCAACACAAAGCGCTCACTATAAGGAGCCCGGGAAAGCTGGTGCCCATGGAAACGGGGTTTTGAAATGGCTACAAGCAAGAAACTTTACCTCATTGCTGTGGAAATGCAACTGGTTACTGGGGTTACTAACGGGCCCAGTTGGGGGTGGAGAGTCTCAGAAGCCTTTCAGAAAGTTTCAGATTTACACGGCTAGTTTCTCAAATCTAGCAATTGCTCCTGGTGAGCAAAGCAGCCCAAAGGGGCTATTTGGTTTTGTCAGTTAACGGTCAGATCCTTTGACCGTCAGCTCAGAAAAAAACACCTACTTTTCAGTTTGCTAATTAGGAAACATTCAATGATTTACTGAGCGGGATTTTCCTTCTGCTATTACTGGCTCTTCGGTCCATTGGATGCGTCCATTGTAGGTGATGATAATGATTAACAAACAGGCCCCTAAAAGAATGAAAAGTAATGAGAGGTGTTAGCAGACTCCTTGGTATTTTAATATTCCATCTGCTTACAGTGCCTCTGTTAAGCAGCTTTAGAATAATTTAAGATGGACACCGTGGAACTAACTGGCCTTCATCTTCCAAATCCTATGCCAAAAAATCCTTGCAAATCAGAAGGCTTTTTAGAGCCAATGGCGTTCGGTGTTTGGAGCAGAGTGTAAATATGGCTTTTAGTGAGGTGGGAATAATTCATAGCCCCCGCGATAACTCTGTCTGCACCTCAGGAGATGTCAAGGTGTCTGCTAGCGAATGAGAAGAGGGAGGCTGCTTTATTCATGGTCACTCAGGGCATACACTCGCTTTAAGTATTCTTGGGACTCTCCTGTGGGTAGACAAGCCCTCAGAAACATTTTAGGCATCTCATTTTGCTTTGAGGTTGCTTGAAACATGAAGAATTTAAAATAAACCCCGGACTTCTTTCTGATCAGACACTACCGTCAGTACCAGTATTTCCCACTTTTCTCCTGTCTTTTGATTTTTTTTGTTCGAGACAGAGAGGAGAAATTTTATTTAAATGCTGCTAGAGGTTAACCTTGATTTCCAATTTGTTTAAGCCTGGGGTGGGGTAGTCAGTATTAGTGTTTACAAAAGGTATTTTTTTGCAGGGACTTAACGACTGAATTGCATTTGCAATGCTCACTCTTAAGCCATCAGCCACCCCTTCAATCAGCTCTGTTGAGGTCAGAGTTGGCACTGCCAGCCTTCTACAGAAGCAGGAGGCCATTCATTCTGCACACGGGTGTCACTGTGCAATCTTAACTTTTTCAACAATTAAAAAATGAAATCCTCCTTTATGCAAAAGAAGCTTGTATTTCCCAAAGCAAGAGAGTCCTTGCCATCTTTTACTAACCAACAAGATTTCCTTTGAAAGTAACTAATCTCTCCCTATTGCTACCAAAAGTGTCACAGTTGCCAATATCTGGACACAATTAAACTTTTCTCACCAACTTTGTGATTTTTTTTTTTTAATGGACAGTTACTAAACCCAGATATTAGATGAACTCTGTACTGCATTCCTAGGCCCTACATTGTTATGTATTTGTATTAAGGGTGTGTCCAGAGGCCCCAAATGAGATTGCATTGTGCTATTCTCCCGTTGTGCTAGGCGCTGTAATAACACACAGTGAGAGACGGTCCCTGTTCCAGGGAGCTGACAAATCTCAGACAAGACAGGCAATGGGCCGGAGATGAAACGGGCACAGAGAGATGACGAGACTTGCCCAACTCATACAGCAGGCCAATTGCAGAGCCAGGAATAGAAGCCAGGTTGCTTGGCTCTTGACTGTTATCCACAGGACCATGCTGCCCCTGTGTTACCACTGGAATCAGTTTATGTTCTAGCTCTTGCTCAGTTCATTCACTTTTGACATCCTTGGACAACTGGAAGGATGAAGGGCGTCTTGCACTTTGCTGTTCCATGACATAAAGGCGTGATTTAGGCTCACAGCATAGGGTCTAGTGCATTGCATATGATTTCTTCAGTGCACAGTAGCACAGCTGTATATATTGTTCTGTCAAGACTATTTGGTTTTCCCTGACAAAGACATTTCCCCCGTCAATGAGAATTATTTATTTACCATCAGATGAATCAGGGGAACTGATCCCATTCCCATTGAAATAAATGGGTGTTTCCCCAAAGATTTCAAATCATGGAAGGGTTAGTCTTATCTCAGCATGCAGATTGAAAAGCAGAAAATACAGGGCATGCGTGTACACATGTGCACACCCCCATGGCAGTGACTCAGGATCCATACAGGGTTCTGCCATCAGAAAATCAGGTACCGGCTCATTGGGGATCCATTATGGTGATGAAAAATGGCTTCAACATCCCCTTGTGGTTGCGGGGAAGGAGCAAAAATTTGGGAAGCATTGGCTAGGGCATGCCTAGGGAAAGTGGTGGATGTGCTGATTCAGCATATTTTTGAGCAGCCTTCCTAGGAGCTCAGTTGTAACATAAAGTTTTTCTTCCCCAACTGAAACCCTGACTAAGGGAGAAGCAGCTGCAAAACTGCCTGTCTTCCCTCATGCTGAACCTCGCCCAGAGCATAGAAGGCCAGGCTGGCAAAGGGATTACATAATTGACATCTCCCTGAGCCAGCTGTTTTGTCAGGTGGCAGAAAAATCTGAACGTTGTAGGCTACTTGTGCAGAACAGGGGGTTTGATAAGAAGTTAAATTGTGATTTCTTGTGCATAGAGATGGATGAGTTACTCCAGAAATCAATGGCTATGAGCTAGGGTGTGCTGCCATTTATCTAGAAAAGCTCCAATGGATTTTAGGGGTACAAAATGTTCAGAACAGAGGGTGGAGCCCATGTAGTTCTGTGGTCCCATAAATCTCTAGGATAGGAAGCTCAACAAGTTTATTCAAAGATTAATAAAACCTCGCCCACTCCGAGCAGAACAACTAAATACTTAAAATGGCCTAATAGGCTTTGAATTCAAGAAGCCATGAGGCTGCAAAATGATTGGTGTGGGTTCTCTGTTTAAAACACTTGATTGTCTCCCTCTGGGCTCCTCAGCACACTTCTTGCTATCTTTAGCATGGATGAGTGGTGCCCAGAACAAGCTCTCTTGAGCTTCTCAGCCCTCTTGGAGGAGCCTTAGGAGGGACCCTTTAAAAGCTACATACTTCCAGCTATTTATGTATTTATTTGTATACATATTTCTATGGTGCCCATCACTGCAGTATCTGGGCTTCTTTACATAAGTGTATCAGCCACACTTCATAGTAAGCTTCTGTTAATGGATGTTAAACATGCAGGTAATATTTATTATACATGATTATAGCCCATCAGTAGAAAGTGTAGAGATCATTATAAACCATGGCTATAAACAATGTGTTGGGCTCTATAACAATCAATTAACCATTTATTAAACATCTACTAATCATTTATCAATCCTTTATCAATGAAACCTTAATGTCAAGGGTGATCAGTGTATCAGAATATTAATTCCTTTGAGAGAGAGAACAAAAATCTCCTCCACCAATTAAAGCTGCTTATTTAGGAAGAATCAAATCTAGCTGGTTAGGGAGAGTTCAGAAACAAGCATCCGTGCAGTGTGGCCATTGTCTCAGTCAGAGAGAGGGAGTCAGTTTTCTGGAGTGACAAATACTTAATTAGGGTGGGATGGGTGCCAGAGTTAGTAATTTTAAAAATAAACATGAAAGCAAAGACAGGAATTCCTTGAAGCAAACCACTGTTTTCCATTGCAGTTCACTGCAGACAGTTTGACTTGGCAGGCCCATCGTGGGGGTACAGTAGCTGGCATCGCTGATAAGTCATTCCAACTGTCACTTTTTGGACGTTTTGCTTGGGCCTAATGCTATCTCACCTCAGTGATTGTGCTGTCCCCCATCTATGGCATTAAAGAGAATTCAAAATCAACCCAAAGTGTTCTAAAATAGAGCTGGATCTTGCAGTGCATTTTTTTTTTTTTTGCTGCCTGTTTATTAGATTGTAAAGTCCATGCTTTAGGGTCAGTGTCTTGAACAGTGACTGACTTGGTGCTGACCAAATAATCATAATCATCCTTTTCACAGTGACTATGAGGGGTAATTCTTCAGAACTGCAGACATGTGCATGTATCAATGTGCTGCAATGTGTGTTTAAGTGACCAGTTAGCTGGGATAACTAGCTACAAAATTATGTACAAAGATCTAAGTTGTTTGTGCAATTACAGCAACCCTGTGCATGCAATCTGGCAAGCAGTTACGAACTTTACATAAGCATTCTCGGTAACTAAGAATTTGGCACATGACTGCATGCACATTTTTGCTCCTGAAAATGTGTGTGTACAAGTCAAAAGATATGACTGTTAAAATGATCCCTAAAGCTGATCAGGGAACTTTTCAACAAAACGGTTTTTTAATACAGATTTGTCTAAACCATTTATTATGAAAAGTTTCAGTGGGTTTTGACACACTTTTTTTTCTTTTTTTTTACTAGAAAATTTTTTGGGGAAAAAGGGATTTGAAACATTTTGTTTGGATACTTTCTAAAGGAAAAGAATCCAGTTCTCTGGTTCAAAATGACTTTTTGTTTTTACTTTTAAATTAATTTATATTTAAAAGGCTGGATTGAAAAAAAAAATCTCTTGATGTTTTTTACCTGAGTTTCAGGTTGAATAATTGCTGGGATGAGAAAACATTTTTTTTTTTTTACATATTTATTAGGTCTCACTTGTAAGTCATATTACAAGAGAAAGAGTCTCAGTGATGCTAACTCTGGTTGACAGATAGCACAGGGATGAGTGCAGCATAAAAGCCTAGATGAAACCTGCACTTATTAATTCATAGGCTTTTC